CATCCATCCATCTATCTAATCATCTATCTTCTATGTCAACATAGAGAACATATCTGATACTATAACTTCCTACTTTCCCCACAAGAACCCTATGAAATGGGTTTGGCCGAGAAAATGTGATTCACCCAAGGTCACCTAGCCCGCTTTCATGTCTACAACTTACAGCCTCCTGCTTTCTCACCCAGCACCTTACTTATTACACCAACCTGTTTTGTTCCTTTGTTTTTATGTTTCTAACCAACTGTAAGCTGTCCAGGGTTACTTTTGTAAGATAGGCAGCCACTTAATTAACTATATGGGGGAAGCGGAGAACACTACCTAAAATGAAGCTTAATAAAAGGGGATTTTCTATGAATACACATCTCCTATGCTTTAAAGTGAGAAGCTCTCTCTATTACTGAAAATAGCACTGTTTCTAATCTATGCTATTTCAAGAAGACAAAGCATTTAGCCCATTACAATAAATCAACATTGTTTTACTTCTAATTTTATCATTTGCTTTTAGTTAGAAATGTTACTTGGTTTGGGGTTATCGATCAGAGACAACAACACAAGACTCCGAAGATAAAATATACTGCATGATATTGGCAGCATGGGTTCACATGCTAATTTTAGATTAATAATTAACTGCAAAGCAGGTCTCATTTGTATTACCTGCCTGAAATGGTTGCTAATGATATCGACTCTTCAGATTGGAAATTCCGTTTCCAAGGGCACAAAGAAGAAAACAAGGAACACAAAACAGTTGCTATAGCAATCACTATATTTAAGGCCAATTTATTTATGTTCTGGATGCATTTTGAGCAGTATGTTTTTTCAAGACAATACTCTAAAACAGTGTTGTTTTTTAAAAACTTTGATAGCTTTAAGGTAGAAGGCCCCTTTGATGAAGTAGTTAAGGCATCGGGCTAGAACCTGGGAGATTGTGAGTTCTAGTCCCACTTTAGGCATAAAGCTACGTGACATTGGGCCCTAGGAAGGAGGCAATAACAAACCAATTCTGAAAAACCTTCCCAAGAAAACTCCAGGGGGTTGTTCAGACAATCTCTTGAGAATTAGATATAAATGAAAAGAAGGAAAAAAAAAATCAACATGTTTGGATTTCAAAACCCAGAATTCCCCAAGGAAGCTGGGAATTGAAAGCCATACTACTTAAAAGTTATCAATATTGAAAAACACTGCTCTAAAATGTAAATTGAGCAGAAAGCCTATTTCACATGCTACCTCAGTGTCTTTCAAACTTGGCAACTTTGAGATTTCAAGTCCCAGAATTCCGTGCTTGCGTGCAGTCATTTTGATTCTTATTGTGTGTTGCTCAAATTTACTTTCTCCAATGGAAACATCTGCGCTATTACTCACCTGGCTGTGTACATTTTGCACACAAAACACTTTTTAGTCCATAGCCAATGTTTTTTGGTTAATAAAGGATACAGGCTTCTATCTAGGCAGTCATCTCGATGAATAAGCCTTGCAAAATAAAAGATTGGGGAAAAGAACGGATTTAGTCTACACTGGTACAAATGAAAGGGAAAGAAAGTCAGGCATCTTTATAACAACTGATAGTATTTGTTTCAAGGCAATCAAGGCTGCAGAATAAGCATACATCCATCAGTTAGAGAAAGCCAATGCCCAAAAAAAGGAGCAAGAGTATACAGAAGTAAAGCAGGAAAAAAAAAATCTGAATTCTCTTCAGCTACCTTCCCACACGCAAATCAGCCTGCACGAATCAAACACGGTCACTGAATCCAGAATGGTGGGATGGACGGGGAAGAAATGAAAAGGTAATGGATCCCCAGAACACCAGCAGACAAAGCATATTATTATAGGTAATAGCCCCCTTTGCAATGCTAACACATGAAGAATGGAAGTACAAAGAATCTCAAATTCCAAATACCCTGTTTCTCCAACAATACGGCCTCCCCCAATAGGAAGTCCCAGCATGTTTTATAGGCATGAAATGAAATTAAGCTCCTCCCCCCAAATTAAGGCCTATATTAAAACATGCGAAATGGGGGGGAATGGCTTGCCGTTAGGAAGTACTTTTGTTGCACACCCGGATATGGTGCTGCCTGCGTTGACCCCGATACAAAGTGCCCCACCAATGCTGAAGTCAACATCCAAGCCGTTGCCGCCCGCCCAAAGATGCAAGGGGGGGGGGAATTAAGTCACCCCCGAAAAGATGGCCTAGCCATTTTTTCGGGGCTCAAAAAAAATTAAGACCCAGCCTTATTATATGAGAAACACGGTAGTACCCCTCTTGGCAGGGACTCGGCCAAGAAACAGTGTCTTACCTGATATCTGTGATAATAACAATGTGCTCACAATCTCCTTGGTGACAATAAAGGTATGGGAAACCTATTTTTATGTTCAAATCATTAAATGTGTAGTCTTCCATTTTAGTGGCCTGAAGAGTTCCATAACCTCGGTCGCGGGATTCTGCCCACTCAGTAATTGTCCTGAAATTAGCAGCAGAGACAATATTTTCATTCCCTAAATTGATTATAGGTAGCCCTTGACTTACAACTGCAACCGAGCCCAAAATTTCTATTGCAAAGCAAGGCAGTGTTCAGTGAGCTTTGCCCCATTTTATGACTTTTGTGCCACAGTTGTTAAAACAAATCACTGAAGTTGTTCCAGTGAATCATTTGGTCATTAAGCGAATCTGCCTTCCCCCATTGCTTTTGCTTGTCGGAAGCTGGCTGGGAAGGTTACAAATGGTGATCACATGACCCCAGGACAGTGCAATGGTCATAAATACATGCCAGTGCTAGGCGCCCATATTTTGATCATATGACCGTGGGAATGCTGCAGCGCTCGTAAGTCTGAAAACAGGTTGTAGGTAAATTTCTCAGTGCCGTTCTAATTTCAAACGGTCCTTAAAGGAATGCTTGTAATTTGAGAACTACCAATATTATTTTTGCTAGAGCAATCATCAAAGAGATGAAAAAAATCAATAAAGCAGGTGTCCAAACTAGAATAGAAAACATGTTCTTCCCAACCCCAAAAAATAATAATGTTTTGTTTCAACATGCTGGACAACATTCAAATTAAACCCTAGTGTAGCGGTGTCAAACTAGATTTCATTGAGGGGCGCATCAGGGTTGTGTTTGACCTCGGGGAGGCTGGGAGGCATGGCTGGGACAGGGTGGACTTGGCCTTCTGCCAGCAAAATGGAGTTTGTGGTGGTGGGTGGGTGTGGCTCTGGGACCCTGTTTTCGGCCATGATGGCCTCCTGCATCCCTCAAAAGTGGAGCTCAGGGGGACACTCCCCTGAGCTCTGTTTTTGCTGGCAGAGGGCTGCAGGAGGCTACCCCAGCTGAAAATGGAGCCTGGGAGGGCTGCATGTGGCCTTCCAAGCTCCGTTTTCATTGGCAGAGGCACCATGGGCTGGTCTTTTGCTGTTTCCAGGATGGTCCTGCGGGCCAAATCTGAGCACCCCCACAGGCTGAATTTGGCCCGTGGGCCTTGAGTTTCGACGTCCCTTCCCTCGAGTGTGATCCATGGGAACTACAAACAGATCAGGCAGAAAAAAACATGATACAATGACAGTGTTGATACTGCTGCCTTAAGAGGAGAGATAACGTGATCAGACAGAACTTATACAAAGGATAGTGGGATCCCCACCATCTTAGTAAGAGGAACCCTGTCCAAGAGTCAGGAGGCAACTTGCAATGCATTTAGACATGCAGCAAATTCCAATTGGAAGACTGCAGATGTCCGGTGATAATTCTCAAAACTTCTGGCTACCGCAGCGCACCAATATTTGGAAACCAAAGGCTGAGAACTAGAATTATAAATTGTTTTGGAGAAAAAATAAAGCGTGCGCTGAAGAGCATTTGGACAATAAAATGAATGGGCAAAAGAGCAATGCTTAATCCACCTGCTTCCAAATGTTGCTCTGCAATCCAAGTCCCATCATTTAAAAAGCCCTGTCTCCAGGGGTCAAGCTCCAAAAATCAAGAGATCTGGGTTGGTAAAAGGCCAGAGTTTCCTTCTACTAATTGTCCTTTTTGTCTACTCTCCTACGTTTACCTGTCATCTGTGAAGTCAGCATCAAGATGCTAAATTCAACTATATAATTAACTTGATGGAGAGGCAGTCTAGGTTAGTAAGACTAGGGTTCACAAATGTCAGTTATACTTTACCTGCTCAGATCTCTGCATTCAGCATACCTGCTATCATTATAAAAAACACCTTCAAAGTAAAAGAAGGCAGACTTGTAGAGATCCTGTGGGAAAGAAAGAAAGATGAGGAATATTAGTTTGCTAATTAGAATACACAGGCTTACATATGTGGGTGATATCACATCTCCATGAGCTCCAGTTAAATTTTTTGAAATGCCAACCAAACTCATCACTGCATCACATTATGAATGTGTCCAGTAGCCAGCTTTATAGCAATAGCTGAATGCATTTTAAGGAAAAAAAACAAGGCTCTATAGAAGCTTCTATAGCGGGGCTGTCAAACTTACGGCCCACAGGCCAGATGCCACACCCACGACCGTATAGCAAAGGGGAAAAGAGGCAATACGTCACGTGACACCGCGAGTTTGACACCCTTGCTCTATAAAATGCATCAAGATAATGCGGGTTGCACTCCATGGAGCAGGAAGAGTCCATTCCTTTTGCTAAAGGGGGCTGCAAGACAAGACAAGGGGGGGGTCTTTCTTGCTCTTAACCATTACTTGCCTTCTGGGAATCTCTGATCCAGACTTGAGTGGGAAAATATTTGCTTCTAACAGATGGTCTCCTTTTGACCTGACCCTTACCTCACAACGGTCACACCCCCTTAAAAGTGTCAGGCCCCAAGAACCAAGACAGACAGGTGGAGTTCCTGCTGAGTAGTCCTCTTTATTGTTCCTGAACTATAGACTAGAAATCTTGCCAAACTAACGCAATCACAATAAATCCGCACCACAATAAATCAAACCTGGGCACTTTACAGCTTGTGGGCCACATCTCCTCAGTGGGTGGCCCCTATCTAGCCTGCAGGAGCATTGAACACCAGGCATCAATGCAACATCGGGGCAGTGTGGCAATGTTGAAGGGTGGGATGTCAGTGCAGTAGTGGCAAGGGGCAGGGCAGCAATACTGTCGGTGGCAGTGTGGCGACAACCATCTACAAGAGTCACACTTGCTCATATGGCCCCTTGGTAAAATTAATTGCCCACTCTTGCTATGGATATACTCTGGGAATCCTCAGAGAGGAGACTTCTTAACGCTTGTTCTCTCAACCAAACTTTGCTGCCTCTTTGCCCTCTCGAATGTAGCCCCTCCCTTCTGGGAATCCAGACTACATTCTACCACAAAAGAGACTAAGACAGATTTCCAGCTACAAAGCAAGAAAAAAATAGCGTACCGTCCTGCTTTTAGAGAAAATCAGAAGCTGGCAGACCAATGCCTCAAAAACCACCTTCCAAGCAAACCACCTTATAAGAAGTGTTTTATAGATTTCAAATCTACCACTATTGTTTTTAATTCAACAAAATTATGATTGATTCTTTTTTTGTAAAAATAAGTTTTATATTCAAGAAATATGAAATTTTACATTAAGTTTTATAATAAATAAATATATTAAAGTTTTGTATTGAAGATATTTAATGTTTAAATACTATCAACATAAAAGACATATCAAAGCAATGGATAATTTTTTAAAAAGAAAAATTGTTCCTTTTCAGAAATTCCTCACAGATAGATAACAAGGATCAAGTCGGCCTGACTAATTAAAAACCTGTAAAAACCTCTTTCCCTCCCTCTTTCTCCGATCTTAGATATGCAGCAGTCTTTTCCCATGTCATTTTAATTTATTATGCTGGCATAATGCTTAGGTTTCTTTTTTACATTTTTAATTTCCTTGGGCACTTTCCTCAGAATTTCTAGATATTGAGTAATCTAAAACTGTAATTCATAAATAAATCAGAAAAATAAAAAGGCTGACTTAAAAATATAAAAAATCCCACTTAGTTCTTACTTACATTAAATTCATCTACTTATTACTTGCTCAAATTAAGAAAACACTGTAGCAACAACCTCATTTGTTTTTCCCCCCAGGAATTGATAAGCATATTTTCAAGGGATCAATAATTCGAACGTTAAGAAACTGTTTTGGAATTAAACTGCCCTCTTTGGAAATGCGTTAGAAATCAGTGTTATGATACCTTGCTGATATTTTCTGGGGCCTGAGCAGGATTATTGCTAAACTCCCCACCAATCTGAAGGTCGCTAACACAAGAAATGCAATCTCGAAGCTCGGTAAGTTTTTGACTCCCTAGGACCAACAGCGTCTGATACGGCTTCCGGAGCTTATGCTGTAAAATAGAGACGGCAAAAGAAGATCAATAAACGGCAAAAGATCAAAACATTTCTGACAGGCTGAATTTACACATCAGGTTAATTCATTGTGTAGTTGTGGTTTAGTATGAAACCAGATAATCATCCCGTTGCAAGAAATGTAACCAGTCAACATTACTTCTCCATATCTAAATGTATAATAGAGATAGTACGGCCTTTGCCTTGGGCTGTTCCTTCCAAGATATCAAGAGTAAATATCATCCAAGTTGGAGAATTACGACATGTGGGATTTATATCATGAAGGCTATCAGATCTGAACTGCCCAAATCCAGGGCATCTCTTTGCAGCTGGTCTAGCAATCGTCTGGATTTTTGCAATCCAAATCTAGTACAATGGGGTGCAAACAACACAAACTTTCTATAGGCTGGTTCCTGACATATTGTTCTTCATTTGGCTTTAGCTAAGCAAACTCTATTCAACTGTAATTGTATTCAACCCACAAATAAACTCTAGCTTAGTGTGATGTAGTAACAGAATCAGATCATTAGTGCAGAAATTTCAATAGGGTTCCTATATTGATTGGCAACAGGGTTTTAAGTAAGTCCCTTTGACCTCAAACGGCCAAAAAATGGACCTGCAGCCAAGAAGGCTCCATACTCATTTGAGTGACCCTGAAGACACAAATAAATCTCCAAATGGCCTCAATGACTCTCTAAAAGAATGCAAATGACCAGCTGTCCCCACCATCCAATCAAGGCTGAAGAAGCTTCCTGGATGAAAGAAAAACAAGAAAGTCCAGTTCCTCCTGAAAAAAGCACTTTTGGTTCATCTTCTAAGACAATTCTGGAAGGATCAGAACATTCCCTAATTAAGTGGAATCGAGCCGAAGTTGGAATTACTTTTCTTTAAAATGAAGGGAATCTTGTGTTTTGAAATCTTTCTGCAGAAAAGTAGATTCTACTTTGTCATGTTGCCAAAGGACCACACATCAGCAGGCTATAATTCTTTACTTAAGATTTCTGTGAATAAATTGATCTATTTGTTAAGAAGACATTAAAACAGATGCTAAGCTCAATTACCAACCTTTTGAAATATAACTGGATAAAAAATGTTGAGGGTTAACACAAGTTCGGCTTCGTCAATCATATTCCCAGGATCTTTGGGCCTTTTTCCAATTGCATGAGATTCCTAGGGAAAAAATATATTGGCATGTAAATCGGATGCTTCCGATAATAGACCTGCATAGATATTCTATCCACTGTTTAGTTTAGTTTAGTTTATTGTCACTGCACCTCATACAACGAAATCAAACACCATCTTCAGTGTGCATCATGACCATGAAAATAAACACAAACACACATCCTTTACCCTCCACACATTGAACCGAAACCCACCCGACACCACACCAACACTGCACTATACAGTAGAATTCAAAAGAGCTACTGTCCTGGGATAGAAGCTGTTTTTTAGCCTATTTGTCCTTGTTTTTATAATTCTGTACCATCTGTCAGATGGTAATAGTTCAAAAAAAGGGTGCCCAGGATGAGATGGATCTTTGAGAATGTTTTGAACTTTTTTAAGGCAGCGGAAGCTATAAAGCTCTTCCATAGAGGGGAGAGGGCAACCAATGATCTTCTGGGCAATGACGTTAACCCTCTGGAGTGCTTTCCTATCTGCCACTGTGCAATTGGCAAACCATACAGAGGTGCAGTAAGTTAAGATACTCTCTATGGTGCAGCGGTAGAAGATCACCAGCAGTTTTTCATTCAGTTGTTGTTTTCTGAGAAGTCTCAGACAGTATAATCTCTGCTGGGCCCTTTTGACCAGTGCTGCAATGTGAGCACCCCAGGTCAGGCCCTCTTTTATGGTAACACCCAGAAACTTAAAACTGGCCACTTGCTCCACTCAGTTCCCAATTTTCCAGGTTTGTTGGGAAAGCAGGGTAAGTCTGTTTGAAGTAGACCTTGATCAAGCAAGGTGAATGGTACAAGTCACCTTAATGGAACGATTCCAATGTTCTTTGCATGCTAGATAAACAAGCGAAAGGGCACAGCACTTACTTCCCACACAATCCGTCCAATTCCTAGGCTATGGATTGCCAATTAAATTGCCAAAATGTCACACTTGGTTTCGAATAAGACACAAGGTTACGATGTGCTATGCCACTTCCATCAAATGGCACCCTCTGACAGTTACTGGGACAAAATTTTTCTTGAGATTAGCATATAAACATCTGAAATTCTATAAGTATTGTGTAGTTGGAATAACTTCAATATATAATACAGAGGAAGGGCAGCAGGTGAGAAAGGAGGGCTTACCATCTCATGAATAAATGTTTCTTGTCTACATGCACGATCAACAAGGATGGTTTCTTCTCGTCTCTCCAGAGCTTTCTGCCGAATTCTACAAGTGAGAAGGAAGAAAGCGTTACTCATCCAAGTAAACGTCTCAGTTTTAATAAACGTTGGTCCAGTTGCCATGATTTAACCTTTTCTTTTTAAGATACTTTTGGCCTGGATG